AGCCCTGTAGTTCAAAAATTTGTAATTGTTTTTCAAATGTAAAATTTATTGCAATAAACGGACGATTTGCATGGAAGACAACAAAACTGAGCTGCTAACAATGTGCACTCTGAAAGTATACTCTTGCTGACATAAGGAAGATGTGAAAAATGGCAAACAAAAGTATTTTAGACTTAAAATAATCCCAAAGGATTTGGATTCTGTTGGATTGTGGAGCAATCCACCTGGTAAGGATTCTGTTGGATTGTGGAGCAATCCACCTGGTAACACACAAATGTACTGTTTCCCATAACTGCAAAGCAGGACCTCATCTGACAAACAACAAAACTTGACCACAGCCTAAGGCTGTAGAAACTCCAGTTTACAAGTGCTTCCTGTTGCTGAAAAAGGCTACTGAGAAGATAAACAAATTTCATAAATCATTTTAAATATGAAATTTTTCTCTCTTCTTATGGTTTTTAACAGCACTAGTAGAGAGTAGCAGGGTAGGAACAGGGTCATGTACATACAGAAACATTTCAGCAGCAGTATTCTTGCAGATGTGTAATAAATTACTGATCCAATAAACGATGATGTCGCCAGAACAGTTGTGAGTAATGAGTAAGTAAATCCTGGCTTCTGTATCAATTTACCAATTCAACACCAGTACTGCAGACAAAATGGTAAATTGGTATTGATGAAATTCCAAGGAATTGAGTTATATTAAGAATTAATCAAGATGAGGAGAAGCCTAGTGGCTTCACTGACAAAACGTGTCAGCATTTGCCAGAAAGAAACCACCTGCTGCTATTAAGAAATCAGTTTGAAAATGTTATCCTCTTTCAAGACAAATTTGGTTTTAAGTCACTGAAAGTTAACTGGCTAATATACAGCTAGTATTCAGATTTTCCCTTGTGTAACTGCTTACTACAAGCCAAAGACAAAAAACAAAACAGAAACAAAAATTCTTGGAGAACACTGTAAAAAGCAGCAAACACTACTTTAACATCTGTGCTGCAACCAGTGTCTACAGGAGATCAACTCCACTTTTTGCTTTTTTGGAGTCAGTTTTTTTGAGTCAAGCTAAGAAATGGAAGGGAAGAAAATTAAAGTCCTCAGATTTCTTATTCCAGAGTTAAAAAAAAAAAAAGGACAATATTAAGTCTATCAATCTTTACAGCTTTCATTTAATTAGTAAAAAAAATATCATATTTTATATAATAAAAAAATATATTACAGACGGCAGCACATACATCTACAGTTCTGCTTCAGTAATATTCTCATCAGGGCAACAATAGTATTCCACAAAACAGATCTGTCCATCTTCATTCCTGATCATATACTGAAGTGAAAGAAATCCTTGAGCATCTGTTCGAATGGACACTTTACAAGATAAAGCCAGTGCCTTTGTAGATGGTTTAAGCAAAGAAATCTTGTACCTACAGGAAAAAAAAAAGTAATCTGAAAAAAATACATTGTGCAAAGAGGAGCTGGAACATTACTCTCAAACAATGCCACAGAATAAATAAAAAACAATTAGCAACATACCTATTTGGTCTTTACTTGGTAACAACATCAGACTGATATTGTTAACACTTAGCTTTTGATTATAGACACAGATTTTTATCACATAGGAAATATTTTTTCCCCCCGTGCTAGTGAAATAAATGTTACAGTAATGCAAGAACAGTTTTTAAACTTCCCATTAAGAATGCATGACCTGGCACAGAGGGCATGGATGACAGACTTCCTAACCTGTTTGTCTGAGTCTGGTTACAGTGGAATGCTTCTATCAAATCAGAGTCCCTAGGATAGTCCAGATGTGCACTTCCAGCATTTCCAAAAGTGGATAACCTGGAAGACAAAAAGCACCATCTCGAAATACCTGCTCACAGCTCTCTAAAAACTTATCAGAATGAGTCACTGTGCATATTCCAATGGCTCTCTCACAAAACATAGTTGTCTGTTTCCCCTTAATTAAAAATGCTAACCTGTCCAAACCAGTGTCACATTTACCAGGTTGAAAACTGTTTACTATGTTAATTAGATTACATACTGTGACTCGCTATATTCATTGAAATTCTTCCTGAAATGAAGCAGTACCCTTCTCTCCGCCCTGAGAACTTCCAGTTCTCACCAACAGAGGCCAAGCATGAACATTTGAGTTGAAAGAAGGGTTTCCAGTACCTGAAGTAGGGTTTATCTGGAGACATGGTAATCTGCAGAACTTCACTGGTCATATCCAGTTCAGCAAATGCTTCTCGTAGCCCCTCTGACTGCAGGATGATTTTATTAACCACCTTTGTACTGCAGAAATCAAAATCTAACAACTCCTCAGGTTCCTGAGTGTTAATTTTGCACACTGTCACTACTCCCCCTTCTTCCAAGAACAGCATCAGGGGGTAACCATAACCACGATAACACATCCTAAGGGCCGTTGATGTTCCTGAAAAAGAGAATGAAATATACATTCTGCAGAGAGAAAACCTAGTACATTTGATCACTTTAGAAAATTCACATGCTACTGGCACAAGAGGCACAGATCAATTTGATTCAGTGTGTTTGGTCCAGCCTCCAATACATACTTTACATTACTTAGTGCAGCCTCCTAGACACAGTCTGAAGTGTTATGCAGCAAAACAAAATGATTTGTGTGTAGACAGTTCAAATCCAAACCATTTAATCTACCAAGCAGGTTAATGTTACCTATATATGCTACAATTAGTTCAGAGGAATTGGAAAATCCTCCATGGTCCTGAGGCTCTGTGGCTCACATCACAACAGTCCTACTACTGTTGTAATTTGTGCAACCCAAACTGAAGTTAATACAGCTTAGCTTGCATTGCAGTCACACCCTTCTTTTGCAACACAATCACCCCCTGAACATCTGGTTTCCCAAAATCACTTGATTTAGGTCTTTAGGTCATTCACAACCAAAACGGCAGAGAAATGTGGAGTTCAATATACAGCTGCAACAGTAGAACTGCCCAAGGAGCTGCCATGGTATCACTCCACTCCACCTGAGTACACAGTGCATCCTGCAGCACCCACACAGCCTTGCAAGTATTCACAGGAAATATACCACACCTGGCAAAGAGCTGGTTCCAAAAATGGTTAGGCAGTCAAGAAGAACAGACAAATTGATCCGGAACATCACTGATTCCTCCTGAACAGCAAATTCCTGAAAAATCTCTGCCTGTAAGTTAAAGAGATGAAAAATGGGATGTCTCTGTAATTATTTTACAGTTTGCACTTATTTCCTTAAATTCAGAGCTTTCACTTGCAGAAATCAGCGCCACTCAAAGTGATTTCTAGATGCAACACAGTATTGATTATAGTAAAAGGGGTCTTCATCCCCAAAACTAGCAAAATACAATTAGGTCACAGTCAAAACAAGGTAGCACAGCATAAGCATGGAAACCTAAACACTTGACTTTTATGTTTTAAAAACAAGCCACAAACGTTAAAGCCTAAAGCTGCCTACTTCTGGAGCTGGAAACATTCATGGAACTGTACAATGCGTTACCCTTCTCCAGAAACAATACTTACTTTTCTTTGCTCAAAGCATGAACAAACATTTCAAATACTAAAAGAATGTAAGAACAGAATCGAACACTGAGTTCACCACACTGAAATATGTGCTGAATCCTGCCTTTGACTAGCCTGATGGGGGTAAACTGCTCTACACATTCCCATTTGGCACTGGCACTCACTGCTTTGTAGCACCTGCAGAAACAGAAATATCTCAGAAACAAAGCCGGGTGACGTGAGCTGGTTTTGGGAAAGCAGTACGTATTTTATTTGCCATCCAGAGGGCAAACCCCATCCTGTGGCACACTGAGAACAGTAGAACCATCTCAGCCCAGCTGGTAACTTCAGACGAGTACCTGTGAATCTCTGCTCTCTTTCGTAGCTGACATAAATCCCAGCTTTTGGCTTTGGGATGAGACATAATAAAACCACTTAAAGATGGATAATCTGAGAACTTGCTCGCGCATCCAAGCACAGCATGGCCAGAAGAAGCCACGGGCCTGGCAGGTGCCAACACATTAAGAGTGCCAGCCTAGCATGCTGGCAGGTGTGCAGGAACACACCAGGCACAAGGGTTGGCCTTTCGGCAGCACAGACACCACACGGTAGCCTCACTGTGACCAAAGTCTCCCCTTCTCTGTGGGTATACACAGAATCACAGGGTTCTTAGGGTTGGAAGGGATCGCTGGATCTCAGCGACCTCGGTCAAGGCACGGTCACCTACTGCAGGTGATACAGGAACTCATCCAGGGGGGTTTTGAATACCTCCAAAGCGGGAGACTCCACGATCCCCCTGTGCAACTGTTCCAGTGCCCTGCCACCCTCAATGTAAAGAACTTCTTCCCCATGCTGAGGTGGAACTTCTTGTTTTAGTTTATGGCCAATGCTCCTTGTCCTGTTGCTGGGCACCACTGGAAAGAGTCTGTCACCACCCTCCTGTCACCTGCTTTTGAGATATTTATATGCATTAATGAAATCCCTTCTCAGTTTTCTCTTCCCTAAACAGGCCCAGCTCCCGCAGTCTCTCCTCATAAGAGAGATGCTCCAGACCCTTAATTATCTTTGTGGGCTCCGCTGGACTCTCTCCAGTGGTTCCTTGTCCTTCTTGTGCTGAGGAGCCCAGAACCGGACGCACGCGGTAACCGGGAGCTTTCTAAGGTCTCCCACAGCGGTGCCCTCCGCCTCGCCGATGCCCCACCTGGATGAAGGCGTTGGCCTGGATGCACTTGGCATCCTCCACGGTCACGCGCAGCCCGCTGGCCGTGGCGAAGCACGTGGCGTGGTCCTGGAAGTGCACGGCCCGCAGGAGGCTGGAGAGGTGCCGCGCGTTGTCCAGGCTGGCGGACAGAACGTAGGGCTCGCCGCTGGCAGGCGGCGGCGCCGAGAACGGCATGTCTGGATGCCGGGAGAGGAGGGACGGGAGCGGGGCGGGACGGAAGGGGCGGCGCAGGAAGCGGGAGCGGAGGAAGTGGCGAGCGCAGGAAGGCGGGAGCGGCGTGCGGGCGTGGGGCGAGATGGCGGCGGGAAGAGGAAAGCGTGAGGCGCTCCCGGCGGGAAAGGGGAAACGCGCCAGGACCGGCCCCAGCGCGGCAGAGGCAGAGGCGGCCCCGGCCGGAGCCCCGCAGGAATACAGCATCCCACCGCCCGTGTCCCAGGTACCGCCGGGAGAGCGCGCCTCCTCCCGAGGAGTTCGGCCTCCCCGGGGTGCCGGCGCTCGGGCTGCCTGCGGGAACACCGCTGCTTGGCTTAGTCAGAATCTTTTATAACGCCAGCGCGAGTAGGAGTAAGGCGGTGGTGTGGTGTGTCTGTGAGGGTACGCGGAGAGCGTTGTTCTGGTCGGTGTAAATAAGATGGGTTACCGTGATCTCAGAAGTGTTTGGAAGAGTTGGGTAATTCTGTTGTACACAAAAGGTATATGGAAATGGTGCCTGTTCCATTTAGGAGTCATCCCGAGGAGCGTTCAGTAATTGCGTTATAGGTTCCTTACAAGAAAAACAAAGAGTAGCACGTGTAGGGCAGAGATTTCGTCGGATGCTCGTGGGTAGGAAAAGCGGAATTGTGCTCTGGGGCTGTACCTGAGCTCATTTTGCAGGGAAGGAGAGGTGCTTTTTGTGAATAAGTGGCTTCTTAATACTGTGGTGCGAGGGAAAGGCTTTATCTGGGAGCACACTGGAGCAGGATGGAGGACAGTTCCTCCTGTAAAAGCAAGGCCCCTGCATTCTCTAGGGAAGCCACCGCTCTTGCTGGGTGGACAGATAATAACAAATGTGGGTTTTGTACTTACTGTCCGAACATTTATTTTTTGCTGTGTTGTAGTATTATTAAGGCTAGAAACTTCCCAGGTAACTTTTATGTCTTTTTCTTAGGGTAAATGGAAGAATAAGGAGCGAGTGCTGATATTCTCCTCTCGTGGAATTAATTTCAGAACAAGGCACCTAATGCAAGACTTAAGAACATTGATGCCTCACTCTAAAGCAGGTAGGGTTAAGCATCATTCCTAGGTTATATTTTCAGAATACTTTTAAACCAAGAACTTCTAGCAACCTGTTCTTTTTTTTTTGAATATGGTACATAAGTGTTTTAATGAAACTTGTATTTTAAGCAAACACCAAACCCCTTTTGAGCCAACAAATACAGGACTTGTCATATCTTAATATTTCCTGGGAAATTAATCCTGTGGTATCAGTCCTGCAAGTGCACAGTTTTGCTGCTATGCTTGTTTATTCCATAAGAGGACTGAAACCACTTGATGGTTAATCTTTCATTTATAAACTCGTAAAATTCTTGAAAAAGGACTGCCTGTTAAAAGAATGTCGTGTGTTAAATTGTCTTTCCAGCCTCATAAATGTTGTTCTTATTTTCCAGATACTAAAATGGACCGTAAAGACCAGTTATTTGTAATTAATGAGGTAACCAAGGATCTTTCTAGTGGTTATTTTCTTTTTTAAATTTTCTATGAAAATCCAGTGTGCAAGGGAAAAGGGCAGCCAAGTTCAGAGGATCTCATACTAGTTATAGGAGTTGTATAACTTCATAGGTGAAAATTATTGATATTTGAAAACACTTGTGTTAAAACAGGAAGTTGAATTTTGATTAATGAAACCAAAATTCAACTTCTAATTAAATGTATATTTTCATCATGAAGAAATAAAACCTATGTAGGTGAGAGGTGTAGCATAGTTCATACTTGAAGAATGCAGGACACAAATATGCAGCCAGCTCAAACAATGTAGTAGGACAGTGGTAGTCCTGAATGTAAGACGTAATGTTACATCTGTTGCTCTCAAGTTTATGCCTGGAGAGCTTATCAGGTTGTTGTAGCTTTAATGAAGTTATTTTTCTTTTTAATAATTATGTGAGGTTTGTCAACAAAACAAGCTCTTCAACTAAAGTTTTGGGATCATTAGGTGGAATTTATTAAGTCAAAACCTTTGCTTTTGAACATTCATAGTGATGAATGTGGAAAGTTTTTGGTAATATCTTCAAAATGTTTGTAAACAGCTAATTTGAACATCTTGTTTAGGTGTGTGAAATGAAAAACTGCAATAAGTGCATCTTTTTTGAAGCCAAAAAGAAACAGGATCTCTATATGTGGTAAGGAAATGTTACGTTTTGTTACATTTCTATATATAGCTGAAGATGCTTCAGTTTTAGCTTAAGTTTCTTACCGTAATAGTGAAGATGCATGAAATAGCGTTGCTTAGTTAAATCTGTTCTAATATTGCACTTCTGTGGATAGTGCAAGTTTACAATGCATGACCAGCTTTTGTAGACCGTTTACAGAAGTATGTTATAAAATTATTTAGAAAGCAGGCATTTATGAGTATGTTAAAGGAACTCGATAATGTTATGAAAGCAACCAAAATTACTTCAATACAGGAGTGAGGGTGCTGTGGAGTACTGTGGAAATCCAGCATACCTTCTGGCTGCTGTTAATGTTTTTCTTTTCTGTCTTCCCCACCCCCTGTCCTCTGCAGGCTTTCAAACACACCACAGGGACCATCAGCTAAATTCTTAGTGCAGAACGGTAAGCTGGTTGACATTATTGTGTTTGTACTCTTGCTTCTTTGTACAGTTTTCTGTAAGTACTAAAATGATACACCTTTTTAAAAATCACTGTAGTTCACACACTGGCTGAATTGAAGATGACAGGAAATTGCCTAAGGGGCTCACGGCCCCTCTTGTCTTTTGATCCAGTAAGTATAGTTTTCATTTCATTGGCTTTGCTTTTGTTCTCTTTGCATGACTATTGCATTTAGATTTGTGTGTAAAATTCAATTTTTATTTTTTGTAGATATTTGACAAGGAGCCACACTATGCCCTGCTAAAAGAATTGTTTATTCAGGTCAGTCTGTAGTTCTGCTGCCCAGTGTTTCTTCTTCATTGGAAATGTTTTCTGGCAACATACTTAAAAATCTCAAGTGTTTTTTCAAGTAGCAGTTTTACACTTCTAAACTTTCAAAAAGTCCTCAAGATATTTGGGTCATATTCTTAATATGACTTGAATACTTGTTCTTAAGTTTTGAATTTTGAAGTTTAACCTGGGATTGGGATCTTAGTAAATTAAAACGAATTTAAACTGGGCCATTTATGCTTGACCTCTTAAACTGTAGATACTCAGAAATGCTTCCTCTTATTACAGATATTTAGTACACCACAGTATCACCCCAAAAGCCAACCTTTTGTCGATCATGTTTTCACCTTCACCGTTACAGATGAGAGGATCTGGTTTCGGAATTACCAGGTTAGTGGTCTCGCTTAGCTCTTCAGAAGGAGCTCGGTGGAGTAATTTCATATCAAATCTATTAATTAAAATAAAGTGAGAAGAATCATTATTATTATTATTATTATTTGGGTATGCCAGTCTCTAGTGCTTCCAGATTCAGTCCTGAAATGACTTACCTTCTCCTGTATCTCTGGAGAAATCTGGTTCGATCAACCTGCATTCAGTGAGTTGTGGTTCTGTGATGGATGTCTTGGTAACGGGAAGTAGTACCCTACAAAGCCTACACTTTGCACTGTAACCTTACTTGCTGCTTTGACCCAAAGTGAGCTAGAGCTTACTTTCTAAAGGAGGAATTCACAAATACCTAGTACTCTCTAAAAGCTGGCTCGAACCTAAAAGACCTGCTTTATGTACAGAACTGGGTTTATACAAGTCTAGCTTATCAGCTTCAGGGGCACCATATCTCAGATTTAAATTCAGTTGTGCGTTACCACGTGTAAGGTGCCTACAAGTTCATATACTGCCATTTGATCCATGAGAATTTAAGAAAGTCTTCTTTTTATTGCAGATAATAGAAGAAGATGCATCTCTAGTAGAAATTGGGCCTCGTTTTGTCCTGAACCTCATAAAAATCTTCCAAGGTAGCTTTGGAGGACCAACTCTGTATGAAAATCCTCATTACCAATCCCCAAATATGGTAAGCAGTTCTTTGTTTTCTCTTTCATTCAGCAACTTATTTGAAAACCAATCTTGCAGTCTGTCTCTGCAGGAGCATCACACATGCCCTTCTCCAAGACCCTTCATAGAAAAGAGCCCCAACTGATAATAATTCGAGAACAGAGTAATTTTGTAATTTGTAATCCTGTGAGCATGGAATGAATGCAGAAGTGATGTCACTGAAAAGATGGCATTACACTGAGGATTTTGACCACTAAGCAGAGAAATTACCACATGTTTATTTAATACTGGGTTTCTTCCTATTGCTTATTTGAAACATGTTCAAATTTAAATTCTTACAGCATCGACGGCTGATAAGATTGTCAGTGGCAGCTAAGTTTAGAGAGAAACAGCATGTGAAAGAAGTGCAAAAGGAGAAGAAAAAAGCGAGTAAGGTCCTTGTTAAAGAAGATCCTACCGAAGTGGTCTTTGAAACTCCAGCTGAAGAAAAGCCGGTGGAAATACAGCTTGTGAAACCAGAGTCAAAGCCAATTGTTAAGGATAAAAAGAAACTACGCAAAATTCAGAGGAAGAAACAAAAAAAGCTATTCAGAACTGAAGCATCAGCATAAATGTTGCAAGGGTGGAAACTAGCTATATTGACATAATATTGTAAATAATTGTTTCTACAGGCAAAACTATTTGGAGTTCAGTTTTAAGTAAACAAAATATCCATTTCTTTATTAGGATTGCGTGTGTGTTCTTTTTTTGTCTTCTGGGATTCTGGGTTTTGAAAAATATCATGACATCCCATCCAACCCAGCCTTAAACGCTTCCATGGATGGGTTATCCACAATTGTGCTGGGCAACCTGTTTCTGTGCCTCCCCACCCCCACAGTAATTTTTTTTTTTCTCTAATACCTGAAGTCTGATTCCAAGCCACTGTCCTTGACTGATGTTAGTGAGTAGTTACAGATGTCTCTGGGGCTACTTTAAGTATCTTTAAGCTACTTCACAGTTCCAGACCTCAAGACCTGGTTCTTCCACTGACTAGTTCTGTCTCCCTGTGCACTTCCTCAACTTCCCTGTGCTTCAAGGTCTTGTTTGTGCTCTGCTTCTGTTTGATTCCTCTGTTTCATTTTCTGCTGTCTTAGTGCTGAACAGACACAGGTTCCAAAGAGGAAGCTGACATGTTAAGCGCTATCCCACCCAGCAGGGCAAGGGAAATTCAGTATGAGCTCTGCAACAAATGATCTGTGGGCCATCTGATTGGAAAGAAAGATGTGAATTTCCTCTGCACAGGCATGTGCTCAGTTCATGTGGTCTAATACATGATCACTAATGAGTTAGAAGAGATGCATGAGTATCATTGAGTCCAAGTTAACTCTTCACAGAACTATGTATCACCAAACCATATGACTACAGTCTTCATCCAGATCCTTCTTAACTCTTGACAGGCTTGGTGCCATGACTGCTTCCCTGGGGAGCCTGTTCCAGGAACTGACCACCCTCTGGGTGAGCAACTTTTTCCCAGTGTCCAACCTGAACTTTCCCTGATGCAGTACTGTTTCTCTGACGCAGGGTTTAACCGCACGGAGCTGCTCGCTCACTCTCCCCCAGTGGGATGGGGAAGAGAATCAGAAGGATGCGAGTGAAAACTCATGGTTTGAGATAAAGACTAATAGGTAAAGCAAAAGCCATGCATGCAAGCAAAGCAAAACAAGGAATTTATCTACTACCTCCTCTGTGCAGGCAGGTGTTCAGCCATTCCCAGGAGAGCCGGGCCCCATCACATGTAACTGTGACTCAGGAAGACAAATGTCATCATTCTGAATGTCCCCTGCTTTCTCTCTTCCAGCTTTGTATACTGAGCATGGTATGGAATAACCCTGTGGTTAGCTCGGGTCAGCTGTCCTGGCTGTGTCCCTTCCCAGCTTCTTGTGCACCTCCAGCCTTCTTGCTGGTGGGGTGGGGTGAGGAGCAAAAATGCCTTGACTCTGAGCAATAATGCAAACATCTCTGTTATTACCAACACTGTTTCCAGCACAGATCCAAAACACAGCTCCATGCCTGCTACTGTGAAGAAAATTAGCTCTATCCCAACCAAAATCCCCGTGAAAAAGATGTAGATGCAGTGAGGTCCCCCCAAAGCCCTCAAGACCTTTCTCTATCTTGGTTGTCCTCCTCCTGATAAACTCCAATATTTACACCCTTCTTCTATTGAGGTGATTCAAACTGCACACAATATTCCAAGGGAGCAGAGCAGAAAATCCCCTCCCTTGCCTGGCTGGCTGTGCTTTGCCTGATGCCCCTTAGGACACGACTGGCCCTCCTGGCTGCCAGGGCACTGCTGACTCATATTCAACCCATCATCTTTGGATCAGGCAGTGAGATCAGGACCTCTAGATCTCACAGTCTGATCCAAAGCTCTCTTCATGCAGTGCCCACTGATACACACTTGATCTAGAGAAAAAAGCAGCTTGGGCTACTCTAAGATCTCTGAAGAGTGCAGGTATCAAAAAGAAAATGTTACCTGACAACCTGAGAATGGGTGCTGTGCTGGCCATGCCCCCGAGCTCCTCAGCACCCACAGGAATCAGATATATCTGTATCAGAAACAGTGTGGCCAGCAGGACCAGGGAAGTCATTCTCCCCCTGTACTGGGCACTGGTAAGACTATACCTCTAGTACTTTGTCCAGTTCTGGGCCCCTCAATTCAGGAAGGACATTGAGGTGCTGGAGTGAGTCCAGAGAAGGGCAACGAAGCTAATGAAGCACAACGAAGTTTGAAGCACAAGTCTTATGAGGAGTGGGAATGTTTAGCCTGGAGAAGCAGAGGGTCAGGGGGGACCTTATCACTCCCTACAAGCACCTGGAAGGAGGTTGTAGCCAGGTGGGGGTCAGTCTCTTCTCCCAGGCAACTTGCAACAAGACAACAGGACACAGTCTTAAGCTGCACCAGGGGAGGTTTAGATTGGGCATTAGGAGGAATTTCTTCACAGAAAGGGTGATTAGACACTGGAGTGGGCTGCCCAGGGAGGTGGTGGAGTCACCGCCCCTGGAAGTGTTTTAAGGAAGAACTTAACGTGGCACTTAGTACCACGGTCTAGCTGACATGGTGGTGTTCGGTCACAGGTTGGACTCGATGATCACAAAGACCTTTTCCAACCCAAAGCATTCTGTCCTACCTGCTCAATTCGGTACCACGCGGCTCCACGGCCCACACACCCCTCCCAGCGAGGGCCGAGCGGCCCCGCCCTCCTCCCCGGCAAGCCTCCCCGCGGCGGGTGACAACAGCCCGCCGGTCCCGCCCCGCTCCTCCCTGCGCGGGGCGGCCGCGCCCGCTGCCCCGCCCCGCCGGCCGGCGCTTCCCCGCGGGTTGAGGTACCGCCACCCCGCCGCCGTCGCCATGAAGTGCCACTACGAGGTGCTGGGCGGTGAAGGCGCGACGCCGCCGAGGAGGAGCTGAAGCGGGCGTACCGCCGGCTGGCGCTGCGCTGGCACCCGGGTACGGCCGCGGCTCCGGGCGGCGGGGCCCGGCCGCCCCGGCTCCGCTCTGCCCCGGCCCGGGAGCCCGTGGGCCCCGGGCAGTCGCCTGACTCGGGTTGCCGGGGGCGGCGGGCGGGTTCGGCCGCTGTGCCGTGCAGGCGCTTACAGCAGTTTCGTTAAATTGCCCTGCAGATAAAAACCTCGAGAACGCGGAGGAGGCGGCGGAGCAGTTCAAGTTGATCCAGGCGGCGTACGACGTGCTAAGCGACCCCCAGGAGAGGGCCTGGTGAGCGGCGCTTGGCCTCGGAGAGGCTTAGTTAGGTCCTGTCTCTGCCTGGGCTTGGAATGTGCTGCCCTTGGGCCTTGTGGGAAGTCAGTGCGGGCATCCATGGGCAGGAGCAGCCCTCTTTAGGCTTTGGAAGGGTTGGGAGCCGTGCAGCCTTGCTGGAGAGGCACAGATCCGCACCCACGCCTTCCTTGCTGGAGGTGAAGGTGTGCTGGGCACCGAGGAGTACTCTGGGACACGCCAGTGTTGGCCTCTGTCTCCTCTCCCGGAGCAGGAGGCAGCTTGCACGGTATCACAGGTGCCCCTCTGTTCAGCCCTGCCGGCCTTGGCCAGGGCAAGCACGTGTTCAGTGTCCTTGGGGTGCTGCAGATGTTCGTAATGACGTACATTATGTTTCTGTAACAGTCCTATTCTGAAATACACACACACACACACATATTTAAGAGATTGACACTCTAAATGTCCTGTGTAGCTTGTTTTTCAAGTGGTCTGAAGCAGATTACGTAGCTAAAAACACCTGTGCTAAGTTTATCCTCTTTGAAAATACAGGACTGGTTTTCGGTTTTTATATACCAGTGTGTGATTTGGGGGTTTTTGAGTGTGTATAGGTATTAGATGGTTTAAATAATGTCCTACCTGTTTCTGAAGCATCTTGCTCAAATGTGATTGATCGCTAGCTGCCTGTTAAAAAAATTACTGCTGCAGATATTGCAGATAAAGTAACAGTAAGTAAACTGAAAGTCAAGATAGAATATTTACCGAGCCTGTCTTATTTTTCTCTCTGAGGACTTTGGATGTGAGAGCCAAATTACAGACACTGGGCTAAGCTATACACTGATGTAGTAGATGTACTTGCTAGCTTCCTAGCCCTGGAGAACGTCCCGTGTCTCTACCTGCTGGATGCTGTGAATTTTTTCTAGGTATGATAATCACAGGGAGGCTCTGCTGAAAGGAGGAGTTGATGGAGAGTATCAAGATGATAGTTTGGATCTGCTGCGCTACTTCACTGTTAGCTGTTACTCTGGATATGGAGATGATGAAAAGGTAATGAGTTAATTTAAGGTATCAATTTAAATTCCATTATAAGTGTTGTCATTTGTTTTGTATTGAAAAGTTATGTGTAGAATTATTAGCATGGGTAGTAATAACTGGACATTTAGGGAAGCTTTAATTCCTGCATGTTGTCTAATAATTACTTAATCATAATTTCCATCTAAGTCATACAACTGCGAAGTGTGTGTATATTATTTATTTATGTTATATAGTGAATCATGACAGAGATTTGCAATACCATCTGTTTATTCAGAAATACTTTTAACAGGCTAGAATGCTTCAGACTACAAAAAATGAATGTAACAAGAGTTCTTGGGAAAGGTGTGTTTCCTATAAATTAATTCCCTATCTCATTTTTTGACTCCTTGTTGAATTTTAAAATACTCACTATAAATTAAAAAGGTCCAGGTGATCAGAAGAACCTCCACCAGAGAAAATACTTTTTTGTCTTTGTGTTACTATACTAGGAGTCAGTTAGTAACATATTAAAAGAAGATAGGATACTTAATAAAGAATTTTATACTGGAACTTCCACAAAACCTGATCCTGTGCAAGTAGAAACTTATCACCATCTCCAGCATGCTGAAAATAACTTTTAAGTTTAGATTTGACTACAGCTGTGAGAGAGACAGAGACTGCATGAAGGAGATGGAAATAAAAGGCATGCGAGATAATGGAACTTGTTAAACAGAAGGGTCTTCCTGTCAAGAGCAAGTGCTTATGAGGCCTTTACCCCGGTTTTGGGTTGCTTTTGCAGAATTGTAGTATTTCTCTAAAATACACTCCTGCACCTGACCATTTGTATATCTGTTATTGAGCCATTCAAAATGAGTCAGATTGATTGATTGATTAATGGATTGATTTGATTTTTTTCAGGGATTCTTCGCAGTCTATCGACAGGTTTTTGAAAAGATTGCAAAAGAAGAGATGGAATACA